GGACTCTGGGGGGTCCGGGTCCAACGCAGGCATCTGTCCCATTATGGGGTCCACCGCCCCCCGTCTCCGTCTCCCCGGCCGGTGGTGCTTCACAGTGTAGCTCAGGAACTCTCCGCCCTCATCCACCCGCACCGGGACAGTCAACTGGTAGTGCTGCAGGTAGGACAGGAACTCCTCTTTTTACAGGAGAGAGAACAGAAAAAGCCATGTGATAATCTGAATCTGAATCAGGATCGGGTTTATTGCCAGGTACGTTTAGACATAGGAATTTGCTTTGGTGTATGATGGTTCACAGTATGAAAAACACATGGTGTGCATTTGATGTAATGCATAATGTTTGTGGAGTGGGTTAGCGTCAGTGTCAGTGTTAATGAGGCCGGTAGAAGAAGAGAAGAATGAACATACAATAGCAGATTTATCACCCTCCTCTCCACCTGTCTACATCATACCTTGAGAGTTGTGTGACAGTCTGTTGATGCTTTGAAATTCAGAAGCAGCCATCACCACCAGGCTCAGTGTCCAAGTCAGCGTCTTCCACAAAATTTCCATAATTCAGGGGCAGATGTGACATGGGGTGGAGGGTAGAGGGTGCTACAAACGAGTTAAAAAGACCTGATGGGTCCGATGCCACACCATAACAAGTCCATGGTTTGTCTCCTTCAATTGAATGTTCTTGTCGTGCTCGCAGGCTCATCCAGGTCTCAGATTTCTCCTGAAGGCGAGCACTTCCACATCTCTCTGGCCTCAGGATTCATGTCAGCAGCTCGTAGAAAACACAGTAATCCATCAGACACAGTCACTCTCAGGTGTAACTCCAAACAGGAAGCTCTATATTGGAAACTTGTCTTGACCGATCCATCTGCATTCCTGTGAAGGAAATCAATCAGAGGTTAAAACACCATTATCTCCTGGAATTATCGATTAATCAGGTTGTTGTTTCTCCTACAGCCGTCATGATGAGTCGATTCATCAATTCATCTCCTGACAGAAAATTAGTCAACAATGTTTCTAATAATTGATTTATCGTTTTAGTGTTTTACAGGGAAAAACACTTGCTTTCCATTTCCACAAATGTAAAGATATGCTGCTTGTTCCTTTTTTAACTTGAACATCCTTAGATTTTGCACTATTTGCCGCTTTGGTCAAGCTTTTCACCATCATTTTTATACGTTTTAAAAACCTAATTGATTAATCTGAAGATAAGATGAAATGTTGTACAAATGTTACAAAATGTCAATTCAGATTTGCCAGATTTTCCCAAATCTTTGTCCAAAAATCTGTTACATTTCAAAATATGTTGAATTTAAATTGAGACCAAGCAGCATTTACATCACATATATGAATCTGGAACAAGCTTTTTTTTCAAGGATTTTAGCTTGAATATGACTAATTGATTAATGAACTAATAATTGCCTCAAGAAAAATCTCATAATTAAAGTTTATAGTTTATTTAAGTTGGTTTCATGACTCACCACGACTAACTTGACCATTTGAAGAACACATAGCCATAAACACCACTTATTTCAGCACCATGATCTGTGCCTTTGCCCTGCATATTCATCTGGATGTATAGGTTAATGACTAATAGCCTTAAAACGAGTACACAGTGTATATAAAGTGTTCTAGCCACATTAAAACCGATGCACACATCTTAAAACATTGTCAACGGTGCTGACTAGTCAACATGACATGATATCATTTGTGCAGATTGTGCTTTTACTCACTGACGTGCTTCACGGCAACATGTGCAAACTAAGACTACTATAAACAAACGTCAGCGGGTTCAGGTGAGAGAAGTGACTCCAGACACGGATGACAAGCCTCTGGAGATCCGTGGTTTCTGTGTGGACCTCTCCAGGCTGCAGCCCTCCAGACAGACAGCGCTACTTTCTTGGCCACCCTGACCCAGACAGTTGGCAGCGGGCCCGCATGCATACACCGGGACCTCAAACACAACCCTCCAGAAGCGTCTGCAAATCAAAATAAACCACCTGACATCGCTTTGAAACGTCTTGGTGTTGTTGCAAAAGGCTTCAAAAAGCTACTTATTGCAGATGTGGACCTGAAACGCTGCAATACTTACATGTAGATCCAGTGCGTAAATGTTTCCTGAAGTGCAAATTGTACACGCAAAAAACTCAGTGAACTCGCAGTGCCAAGTTAAGCAGTGCAGCTGTCTAAATGCTGCTTTGTAAACACAGCCTGCTTCCCTGAGAGGATTTAAATGCTCACACGAATCTGCTCCGACAAAACTAACCGGGCAGTTACTCAACAGACAGGGGAGTGTTAACAAATAGTTACCATGCTTATCTTCATTGTCAGCTCCGGTCCAACTGTGCAGGCAGAGCTCAGGACAAAAGGCTTCTGCAGCTCTGAAGTTCCGCTCACAAACCTCTGCTGATCTCCTCTTTTCATCTCCCTGTGGGCTCTACCATCCTCTAAAACTCTAGTGTGAGTTTCCCCTTCACACCGTATCTCAGGACAGACACTGTCCCCCAAAAAAGAGAGCAGTTATATCAAAGTCTTGGATTTCCTCCAGCAGAAGGGTCTATTTGCAGCCTATCGTCTTTATAATCTAGACTTTGTGTACTTGGTGGTGGCTCAGAGTGGCTTAAAAAGTGAGATGAGGTTGCAGAGGGTGTCCTGCCACCTCAGAGACCGCCACAGCACACTGGATTTAAGAAAAGTGCATGCAAACACCAGCAAAAAGTTGCCTTGGAGCTGCTCCTCCTTACTACATTGCAAGAGACCGGCTCCCAGTCCGGGCTGCAGCTTCAAATTGGCAGCTTTTTCAGGAGGGCTGACGTCACTGCAGATGTGCCTCTTCCATCAGCTGTGCGCATGTCTATCAGTGCTGCCCTGAAATAACACGAGCTCACATAAAACCTCTGCTCTGTGAAGAATATAGACCTAATAAAGAAAGTGGAGGGGTAAAACCTTTTTTTACAGTAGTAAAAGTAGAAATACCACATATATAAGTAATGGCAGTTTATTATAACATTAATATAAAACATGTTGATTAAAGTCATGCATTTCAAGTATTACTTTTGCAAAAGTACATAAGCAGCAAAGTTGACAGTAAAGTTTTACATTTACTCAATAATGTACTGTTTGTACTGCATTGTACTTTGTTGGCATTTCCATTTCCTGCTACTTTATACATCTAAGTAATGTACATTTTTACATTTTACAACAGTAATTTTCTACTCAAACATTGATGCATTAGTAGGAAACAATGTGTATATCCATACTGTATATATTAAGACATCAACCAAATGCATTTTTTATTCGAAAAACTGTGTACTTTTAGGGTTTTGATTGCAGGACTTTACATAGTATTTTTAAATTAGCATTTTTTCGGAACAACTAAACAATCTTATAATTCTGTCAGTACTAAATAATTATAATATTGTAGGAGAGTTCCTTTTAACCACATTTTATATTATAATGCATTAGATGTAATATATTGTTATATTTACATTTAAGGTGTGGTTTCTAAAACATTAACCTGAAAAGTAAATATAAATGTAGTGGTGTAAAAAGTAGAATATTCGACTCCGATATGTAGTGGAATACAAGTATTAAGAGGGAAGTACAACATTAAACATGAGTTAATCCATTTACTGCAGGTATAAATCTGTACGGAAGATGGTGATATCATGCAATAGATGATCACCCAGCAACCATTAATATCAACAAGGAACAATATCAAAAACAGAAGTTACATAATCTGACAATAGTTTGGCAGCAACCTTGAATTTAACTAATGAAAAAGGCTGTCAGGCTAGAAAAATACAATAAGCTTGTGTAATTGTATTAGTTTAACCCGGTAGAATCCTGAAATAAATCAAAGACATAAATATTTCCAGGCTCTATAGAACAAATAAGTATTCAGGATTGTCATTTTGATGTAAATTGTAAATCTGCTGAAGGTATATTCAGGGTCTTCAGTGCAGTGCAGGCTAATGGCAGCCCGAGTGTTTTGGTAATTAAACCCACATCTATCTTTAGGCTGTAGGAAATTGAAAATAATCCCTGAGTTTAGTTACAGCTGCTCATTATGTAGGAGCCTGTATCATTACAGTCAGGTTGTCATTACCAGCTCTCCTACACCGTCAGGGAAGGGCTCTGCTAGTTTGTGGGGGGAGACGCCACCGTGTGGTATAGCAGGGATTTAAAATGCATAAAGATTGATGAATGTTTTTTTAATTATTGTTTTACAAGAATGACATTCATCAGATTATGTTTAACTTTAAGTCATGTGTGCTGTCGGTAAATGTGAGTTGAATTACATCATATCAGTCATACACGCCCAAGATTTATGATTAAAGATAATAAAAAAACGTTCCACACACCTTAGTTCAGTTGTGAAAGAAGAACTCCTTCACTTAAGTAAAAATAGCAAAACCACCCGATTACTGTAAACGAGACAAAGTTGTCCATTAATAGATTAAGTAATTTTAGCAACCTGAAGTATAATAGTCTAGGTAGCCAAGATATATTAAAATTAATTAATTAAAATTAAATCAAAAGAAAAAGGCTAGAAAACAAGGTTCAAAAATATTTTAAGGAAATGTCATTCTCGATAGTGTAGAATAATTTCACAAAAAATAGGGTAAAAAAATAGCCTTATTATAAAAAAAATTAAAATTATTTATTTCTTTGGATTTTCCACTAGTCATTGCTTTCTGACCCTTAGAATTATAAACAGGGAGATTCATAGTTTTATGAATCCTAATAGGATTATAAAAGTATAAAATAGTTCAGATCAGATCACATGCAATTTATAGGAATAAAATATGGAGTTTTATTAAAAAACTACTTTTAATTATATTGAAATCATCAAAGTGCCATTTAAGTTAACATAAGCATTTAAAAAAATATGAATTAAACATGCGGTGTGTTTTTGTTCCCTAAAATAACAGGACTCATTACTCAAACACAGGTTTGCATGTTGCGTGTTTGAGATGTTTGCCTAACAATAAAGCACTGATAAAGTCTACAGCACATTGGTCACCTGATTTCCTGAGTTATAAAAGCTCCCACTGCCTCTGCTCTCAATCTGTCGTCAAGGAGCCTCTTTTACCGGATTCACCATCCTCCAACCACCTGGTAAGATTTACCTCCTAGCAACTGCTCGATTAGGGGAAAAAAGATAGCTTATAGTTTGATGTTGAAAGGAGTTACAATTAAAAGAAAGTTAAAATAGCAAAATCGCCCGATTACTCTTAACAAACCATTAAAAGCTCAACATTTTTATTAAAATGTACCTGAAGTATAAAACTTCTCTCAGAACTGTTACATGATGTGTATTGTTTTATCTTTAATATTTTTGTATGCATGCTTCTTGGTTAATATTAAGCTGCATGTCTTTAGCTCTTATCTTGCTGTAACAAATGCCAATTTCCCCTCTGTGGGACGAATAAAGGTATTCTGGTTCTGAAAAGTCTAGGTAGCCATAATATGTAATACATTTGTTTTACTTTAAATCGACAAATTCAATCCTAACACCTGCTTGACTAGGGAAAAAAGCTAACTTATGTGGATATTGTTTGATGTTAAAAATAGGTTCAATCTCTGCTGGGGAAGAAACAGATGCACAAAAGATGTCCTCTAGCTTCTTGGAGTTATAGGAGTTACATTATTTTCTTTCAACAGTGACTTTATCCTGATCATGGCTGTGACAAACCAACCAGGCCGATACGCACCTTCTGACTTCCAGACAGGATTGTGTGATTTCTGCGATGACTGTGGAACTTGTGAGCACTTACCCTTCCTATCTGGGAAATATGACACTCAGTTAAGACTATACATTTGAGTGCAGGGTTATATTTGTTCTTGATACATTTCTCCTCCCTCTGCCTCAGGTTTCTATGGTCTGTTCTGCACCATGTGCCTCGGCTGCTCCATCGCCAGTGACATGGACGAGTGCTGCCTGTGTGGTGTGCAAATGAGCATTCGCAGCGTCTACAGGACCAAGTACAACATCAATGTGAGTTTCAGAGGATATAAAGGGATGGCTGACAGTATTACTCCATTTGGACAATTTTGTGTCACCGAGTATGATAGTTTTACCTTTATTTGTGGTTATACTGTAGCACTTGTACAGGTTTACTACATAAGAAAAAAGTTGAGTTTTTAATACTTTTTAAGGCCTTCTGATTAAAGGTGTAACATTTTAAAAGCCGTCCCATGTCAGACACTGGTAGAGAAAGAAAAATAGGACAATGTCCAAATACAGCATAACAAGTCAAAGCAATTGAATACAAATCCTACTTAAGAGTATTGTAAGCATGATGAACTTAAAGTATCAAATACAAGACAAATATTCAGAAGAAATAAGCATTTAGCTGTTTTAGCTGTTCAAACTGGAGCTAGGTTTACCTACTTTATTTCTAGTTAGCCAATTTACTCCAGTTTTTCACAACATATGGTGGAGCCCCTCAAAGCGTCAATAGACACCTTAAATTGAAGGGTGTGGAGATGATTACTAGGAGAGTGTAAATAACTCATTTGGTGGAAACACAATAAGGAAACCAACCTTATTTTTTACGAGCCACAACTGTTAATCTTTAACTTAACAGTAAAAAATGAAACCGGAGTGATCTATGACATGATGTACTTCTCCTTTATTCTTCTTCTTCTTCGTCGTATTGAGACTAATTCATTTGAATAGTTAGTCGCAACGCCAAGAGGAACAGTAGTACAAACGGGGAAAAAAGGGAAAGGGAGAAAAGAGAAGTTGAAAATGAATAATAATTTTGTTCCGTATAGCAGAATTTAGTTTTTAGTCATAGAAACGGCTCCATTTATTAGATGAATTTGAATGTGAGCATGTTTGCATGTCGCAGAAGCATTTAGCTCAAAGCATTATTGTGTAGAAGACCGTTATTTGAATGTGAGCATGTTTGCATGTCGCGGAAGCATTTAGCTCAAAGCATCATTGTGTAGAAGACCGTTTTGTTTGCCTACCCCAGTAAACATTTGACCACACATTATGTTCATACAGTATCATGCTCCTTTAAAGGGGCTCTGACGCCACGATTGAGAACCATGCTGTAAAACCCATTAAGAAATAGCCAGAAAAATTACAGTTACATTTTGAAATTGTATGAAGGACATCCTTTAAATCACTCCCATCTTAATTATTTCATACATTACAGCCAACATATTTGCTGCCTTGCACAGACCTTCTCATGCTCACACTGATTTAATTCAAATGTCCATGGTTATGCATCCATGCACACACTTGAATAAAAAAAAAAACTAAGGGATAGAATAGAGCCAATCCATTAAAACAGTAAAATAATCACTCATACTTGTGTTTCCAGGGGTCATTGTGTACAGACTTCTTAACATACCTATTCTGTGGCCTCTGTGCCACATGCCAACTGAAGAGGGACATTGACCGCAGGAAGGAGCAAGGCATTTTCTAAATTGGTAAGCATTACAAAAAAAACACCCCACTCACTGTGTCATGTTATCTTTACGTTTATGGAGCTGTCAAAATTATGAAAAATAACAATCTTCCCTTTGCCTTCTAGATACCGTCGCCAGGCACGTTGTAAATGTGCTGGTTTTCTTTGCTCATTGCGGAACCTGAAGATACCGCCCTTCCCTTCTCTGATAAAGAGGTTGATTAGGTTGTATTCAGTGTAATGTGTGTTGTTGTGGAAACTTTCACTCGTCAACAATCTGGAGATGTAATAATAATAATAAAGTTGGTCCGATGCAAATCAAAGTTGTCTTAGTAGTTCTTTATTCAAAGCTTTGAAGGTTCATATACGGAGTAGTCTGCAGGAGTGCACACAGAGGCAAATGTGTGTGTGTGTTTTATAGAGGACTGTTGCTGTGCAGACAAATGGCGCATTTCCACTACACGGTCGGCCTCGGCCACACTCGGTACGGCTCGGTACGGCTTGGCCGCGTTGGGCCTTAACAGGGCCGACTCACTTCATGCTGCGCTTCCATTACAGTTTAGGAACTGGGGTAGTTACTATAGTAACGCAGTGTAGGCGGAGCCGTGACGTCATCTTCATTGAGAACTCCAGAAACACAACACAGCCGTTAGCTGTTAGCACTCAGAGCTCACAGCTCCTTATATATGTTCAGAAACTCGACAAAAGTTAAACAAGTACACACCACAGACTGCCTGTGTCATGGTGAATACAGTCGCTGGTTTATTTATGTCTGTATAGGCCGTTGTTGTGAGTGTGGACGGTCAAAGCATATACTGCGTTAGCTTAGCCAATCTCCATCTAGAAAAACACGCATTTTAAAAGGTTTTTCGCCTGCCGTCTGTCTGCAGACTTGACAAAGCATTAATTCATGGTTTTTACTAACCGGTATCAGTATGTTGTTACTTCGGCATCATTTTGAAACGTGTATTACAATTAAATCACGGTCAAATATGTCCATCTTGTTGTAGTTCTAGCCCTCTTGCCAGCGCTCCTCTCTCTAGTTTAGCATACTCAGCCCGACTCAGCCCTGTTTGTTGGCCCCGATAGAACCACAATTTTCTAGGGCCAGAAAAGAGGTGAAAAAGTGGCCCCGCGCCGTGCCGCGCCGGAACTAGGCCTAGTGGAAGCACAACCAAAAAAGGGGACGGCACGACACGGCACGCTTAAAGCGAGCTCCGCGCTGCAGTGGAACTGCGCCAAAAGAGAAATAACACTTTTTGCTGACTGTTATCTTACAATGCTCTTTTGAGGAACAAAAACGGTATTGTTCAACTGCCACCTTGGCAGGAAGCATCTGGGTGAACAACAAGTCGAGCAATGAAAACTGGACGAATGCCGTCAATAGCTTCACGTTTTAATGGGTACTGGGGTTGGTTGGGACGGTACGTAGACTTTGGAGTGATTACAACAGGTTCGGCAGAGCGGATTAAACCTACGTCATATTTGTGAGCTGCCCAGAGTGAGTGTGGCACATCTGAAAGCGCGGCAGGAAGCTCAGAAATATGAGAATATCCCGTAAATGCGGGAAAAGTGGTGTTACCTACGTCATCATCCTCAAACAACAGCAATGTGCGCAGAACGGCTATGTTCGTGCACATTTTCATTTTATACACGTCACGTGACATATTTTGTGTGTGTGGGTGCCCAATCAGTGACTGACTCCCAATCTTTAACGAGTGGACCCAAATCCCTCCATCTATCAGTGGGGCCCCTGGTCAACGAAACATGTGGGACCGCCCCTGGGATTTGATAAAACTTGTGTTGTGCGGGTGTGAGTGTGACAGGAATAGCGCTGCGCAGGGAGCTCCAATACATTGTTTCAAGCATGATGTTATCATTTACACATTCCAACAGAAAACCCTCTTCAAAATATTTGTCTGGACTATCTGTTACATGTGCAGTAAAGTGTAAGTGAGGAGAATCCATGAACACAGCTTGTGAGGGGACATTTTGACGTGCCAAATGCAGCAGTTCCTGTGATACGGGAAATGCAGCAAGCCATTGGTACACAGACAGTAGACTGAGATAACACTTTTTGCTGACTGTTATCTTGCAATGCTCTTTTGAGGATCTGTATTGATCAAGTGCGACCTTGGCAGGAAGCATCTGGGTGAACAACAAGTCGAGCAATGAAAACTTTACTGAGTACACTTTTCATCATATAAGCGTTGCATTTGGTTTTACCATATAAAGTAATATAAGAAATTGCCACTAGTGTCGGTAATGGTGTAGTACATTTGCTATCCTTCTGAATTTTAAGGAAAATGCGTAATCACACCCCCAAGTGGAAAACGGTCATAAATGACTGCTACCATCATAAAGAAAGGGATGTGTATTTTCCGACGCAGTTGACAGGATGTGAATTGTTTTGGAAGATGTCTTTAAATAAAATCCTCTTTTTCAAATGATTTTTGAGTTACACTTTTTGTATATTTCACTTCCATTGAGAAAACCTGGAGTTAGTTTAAAAAAATAAATAAAATGAAGCCATGTCAGAATATTTTATTTTGAAATCTAGTTTTAAAAAAAGATGGCATGATTGAGCTTTAATTATCATTAAAAGGGGACCTATCATGCAAAATGCACGTCTTTTATACATGAATATGTGTCCCCGGTGTTCCAGGGAACTCACCAAGTGTCAGAAAACACAACCCTCTCTATTTTCCTCCATACCCAAATCTCTAAAAAAGGGGCTGCAACGGATCTGATAAAAACTGATCCAGATTTGAACACTGTCCTGACGTCAGGACAGTGGTGCTACGGCTATTGGGCCAACTCCACCAATCAGGAGGAGACAGCCACGGCCATTGCCATTCGAAAGCGCTGGAGACGCTGTAGTACATATGCCAGGCCTGTAGGTGGTGCTGTTCTCACTGAATCTGCCCTTGCAGAGCAGAGCTAAAAAAAAGTGCAAATTGAGCGAAATGAGGCATGGCTAAAATGCATAATCTGTTTGGTATTTTGAAAAGAAAAAAGTATAAATATGCCTTATATAGCATGATAGGTCCACTTTAAGTTAGCTACTGACAATTAACTTTTTTTTGTTGCTACAGCTAAATTTGACAGGTGAGGCCACTGAGCGCCCAGTGTGTAGATTTAACAACTTGTTAAATCATAATAAAAGCACAGGCTCTTTTTCACAGCAGACATTTTTTCGTGAGCAAACACACACACATATAGGCTGTGAGACTCCTGAACTCATCCTCCAAATAGTTTTTTATAGCAATAGCAAAATGGGACTATATAACAATGTGTTGTAGGATTTATTATCATATCCTGAACATAAGAAACAGCTGCGAAACATTTTGTTGTGCCAGTTTGATGACTTTTTGATGACTTTATATACAAAAATATATCTTGCTTTGTGAAATGGAAACGGTTCATTAGGGAGTGGCTACACATGGGTGTTTTCAAGGAACTTATTTATAAAGAAAGAACATAATAACTGGTAGCTAAAAGAGGACTTTGCCGATTAAAGCTACTGAAAAACTAATTTGAGACCATGCGGTATGGATTCTGACTTAAATGGCAAAACAGTTTAATGAATCGTTAGTGAAGCAGAAATTAAACTTGAATGACACGACCATGACGCTAAACAATTGCTTTACTCTTTGAATTTAATTTTCTTTGTGGACCGAGAAGTTTTTACATGAAGCCAATAAATCAAGAATAACATATGTTGCTGCGTTGTTATGTCAAGTAAAAAACAGGAGCAAGTGTTGGAGCACAAAAGCGTAAACAGACCAGATGTCCCCAGAGTCATTTGCCTAATTCTATGTCCACTATCTGGTCGATCACATCCACATTTCTAACATGCCATGTCAATATTATTAAGTCACACCTAAAGGTAACAATATACAACTCCTCTGAATACATCAATGCCAGACACAGATCTGAGTGAGAAATATGTAACTATTTTCCTTTTTGGCAAAAGTAATAAAACAGTGTTCTCTGAATATTTAGTGATGGTGATACCAGAGATTCTCCTTGGATGCTTCCATTACTGGGATGATGTTAGATTTTTTGGGAGGGTTGGGGTGTTTACTGGGTCATCTGGGATTCCAGGGCCTGAGCAGCCCACTCTGGAGCAGCAGCGCGGATCTTTTCTAGGAGGTTGTTGACTTGGAAGCACAGAGACTGGATCTGTTTGTCCCAGGTAGGGAGGGCTTCCCGGGCTGTTAGACATAACATGAAAGGTAGAAAGGGCATCAAATACATTTGCATTTTATGACCTGTGATCCACACATTTTCATATTCAAATTCTATGTGGTATTCTATCAAAGCACTTCCTCCTTCAAAAGCAAGGTATGTGCTGTTTTCTTATCATTCCTGTATGAAGAGGGTGCCCCCTACTGGACGCAAATAGATTAGTTAGTTTGATAATTTTAACGTTATTTTTGTTAAATTGTTACGTTTATTCTTTAAGTTAACTGGGGCCTTATAATTATTAGCCTTTGGTTTATTATTGTACCAAAGTGTTTGAACATTTATCAATAAGGTCAGGGCACACCAAGATAAGAGTTCCTATCACAAGACATTTTTTTGTCAGAGCCCCTCAGGTACCTTAATCTCTGTTTTGCTTTCATTGTCCAAATGCTATATTTGCAGCAGTAGTCTTCAAGGTATTGAAGGTGTTCAATTAATTGTTTTACCCTGTCTCCAAAATGGATGTGTCATTTATTTTCATATCTTTCTGATGTGTATGCCTACAAATAGTAGAAAAACCAAAACCTGAGATAGGAGAGCCTTGTTTCACTCTAACTATAGATGTAACTACTGTGGAGCCCAGAAGACTTCTATAAGTGTGGTTGGGACTCTTGACAGTTTGGTCAGAATAAACTAAATAATGAAATCTAATGATTCCATAATTGAGTTGTGCGTTTGCAATGGAATACATTTTTGTATTGATCATAACTGTAATGTTAAATTGAAAAAGATAAATACTGAACTTTGATCCAAAAGCTGGCAAATTCTGTCCTTTATCAAATGTAAAAAACAATTGACTTTCAACTCACTCTCAAAGTGTACAATGCTATCTATCTGGTCGATGAAGCCATTCATGCGTCCTTCAGTGATCATCTGGGAAGCAATTTTCTCAGCCTAATGACAAACAAAAGAAGAAAAACATCTCAACATACATAATGGCAAATGAACAGCGACACACATTTAATACATACATAACATTTATCTTCTTTAAATCGTACAAATGTCCCTGCATAGCTGAAAAGAAAAATTAATTGGATTGCTATAATTCATCACTTTTGATGAAGAGGACTGGAAAGATTTATTGCTTTGAGCCTTTTTTTCTTTCTTGTGCTTGAATGCATCCCACACACATATATAGATGCTGATTATGTTAATGCAACTGAAACAGATTATCATTAACAATTCTGTGCTCCATGCAAAGAGTCAGATTGAGAACAGAATTAAGTAATAATGTACCATTTACATACAGTAAACTTGTTTATGTGTAATTCTGTACTCACTTACTATACCTACTACAAAGACAAATTATTAATTTAAGAAATGTCTAACCTTTGCTGGGGGGATTTCCAACAATGCTCCTAGTTCTTCAAACGTGATGTTGTTGTAGAGTTTGCTCGCAGACAGGAGGTTGTGTTCAATCACTGCTCTGTCAAGGATGCTGGAACCTGCAAGTGAGACAACACACAACATAAAGTACATTCACAGACCAGGGTCAGGTTCCCTCATTCCTTGTATGAGACACATTCAGCATGTACAAGCCAAAAATAAAATAAAACAACAGCTTTGAAGCATTGCCCAATCACGCCCACTCGCCCAGCAATGCACCCCAAGAGTGGCTACACACACATGTTGCTGTATAGTGGGTGCTGCACTTGGATTTAACCATTGCCGTTTATTTAGGCTGTTTGGTGAAGTTTGTCAAGATTTCTGCAAAACCACATGGGGTTCTTTTTGAATGAGCCTAAACATTCATACTCATTCTGCCTCTAAATTATACTTTACATGTGTTAAAGTACTGTAGCTTTAATAAACAGGCAAGGCTCACATGGCCTAAGCAGCAAATATATCAGCTATAACCAGTTGTAGAAGAGAGGGTTGGATTATTAACATTTTGCCAATTCACTGACCCAACTTGTCTTATAACAAATCTTCTCCACTCACCATCTGCTGTGGTGGCTTTCTGGTGAGGCATCAGCATGGCAGCAAACTCCTGCAGCTGGTTTCCTCTGATAATACGGTCCAGGTACATCTTCTCCAGAATACCGTAGGCAGCCAGCTGTTGACAGCGCTCATCTTTAAAAAGAGTGGCCAACATTCGGGAACGCTGCTGGCCTGAAAAAAAAAACATGACATATTTTTGGCATCGTACAAGAAGTTTGTCATTAAGATTGTCTATGAAAATGTAAACCTAAGCACAATAATGATGGTAGTACCTGCAGAGGCCAGTATGGTGCAGTTTAGCGCATGTTTAAGTGCCTCCAGACGTTCAGTCTCATGGACAATTGACTTATACGACAGCTCGTTGTATCTTTGTGCAGCTTCAATGAACTTCCTCCTGAAGTCTAGCACTCTGGCATAGCACACCTACAAATGTAAACAGCATTACAAAGTGATCCAAGGCACTACATAAATAGTTTACTGCAAAGTCCCTAAAAGGTTTTATTAAGAACTATTTATTCAATTGCAAAAGTTACAGTTAAGCATAGACAAGTTGTGTACCTTATAGTGTATCTGTAGCTGTTCATTAGAGGACTCGTTCTGAAGCAATGAGGCTCTGTTGATGTAGGCCTCTGCCTGCACTGGATCATCGTCCTCCAAGTAGAGACGGGCAATTTTCAGGTACGTATCCAACTTATAGTCAACATTGTATTGCCTAAGGAAGGAAAATCAAAAGGTATGGTAAGACCTGGGAATATTACAAACATTGTCAGAAAAATAAATCTGCTATTAGCTTACTTACTTCTGTCCTGTTTCCAAGGGAATACCAACTAAAACCTGGGCAGCATTTCTCCAGTCTCCCTCCTTTTCATAAATGGTTGCTAAGTGCTGTCTGATTGAGGCTACCTGAGGACATAAAGAAGAACATTATGCATTTGATTAAGAATACTGATGTTTATTGGCCTAATATATAAGAGTGTGTGAGGGTATTTACTTGTTCCTCAAAAGAGATGACCCTTGGCTGAATCTTTTCCAAGGTGAAGTGATACACTGCTTTAGCTGTGGCGTCGGGCAGGTTGGGCAAATGTGTGCAGAAATCGGTGAGCAGTTGTCTCGAGATGACAAGACTGACATTTTCATTGACCACTGTAAAAGAAATGTAGAAATACTGAAGTAAGATGTCCTCCTGTTCACATACAAATAAGTTTGTGGTAAAATTCTGACGCGTTAAAGAAAATGGGTACAGCATACTTGCTTCAACAAAGGCCTTCAAGGATTCCAGTTGCTCAGCATCTGTAAACTGAATGGCCTTCTCCAGAATTTGTCGATATCTAGAAAAAGATTTACAGGTTAGAAACTACACCCCTGGGTTTTGGAGGTCCATGAAACTGATACATGGAAAATCACAAGGCTACAATTTAATAATGGAGATTAACATAAAACAAAAATAAGCAGTTTTTATTCCACTCTACAGCATTTAATTCCACATTCTGCTCTTCTTTATCTTATTCTGTTTTACATGTAGGCTACAGTGTATAGACTCCTGCATTTACTGGGTGACTTGCAACATCCTCTGCAACATAAAGCTTAGTGTTAATTATTTGACATACGTAGTTTACTTCTTTGGCTTTTTGTGTTATATACAATCATTATATTGCATTGTTGGAGGACCTGGGACAACTACACTGTTGCTACTGTGCATATGACAATAAAGCCTTTGAATCTAGAAAGCTATGTTGTGCCCAGCACCAGTTAACTGTGTAGCTAGTAAACAGTGCTAATGCTAATATGATGAAATGTAACATTAATGTAACATTAACGTTAGCAGTAAACTGGCCGCTTTAATATCGCCCAACCGTGGTGTTACAATTTAAAGGATAATCTGTAAAATAAAGTGATTGACAGGGAGTTATAAACAACCAACGTTTACCGGGATAGCTAAATGTATGGCTAATGTAGCTAGGAGGCTAACGCAAGCTTAGCTATCACATCTATCTCATTGCTAGCTAGCATTTAATGTAGCACTTACTTTCTCAAATTTTAAATAGCATGTATAAGGAAGTCTTAAATATAGTGTTACATACTTGGCAGCAAGATCTTTGTGAGATCCAGTTGAATTAATCAGCTGTGCAAGCTCCTGCCTCACGTCGGTCGCCATTGTCGCCTGCAGAAGTGTCAACTAGTGATGTGTCGGTCGCGAACGAGCCGGCTCAAAGAGCCGGCTCTTTTAAGTGAACGACGGGAGCCGGCTCGCGCCCGCGAACGAGCCGTTTTTTGTTGTTGTTATTTTGTTGTTGTTAAGTAATACAAGACAGAATGATATGATGATCTCCGCGCTACAGCTGCTCCGTGCATGCATGCAGTGACATGTAATATCCAAGGATTAGAGACTGTTGGATGCTGCTGTACTGAGCATTGCAATATATTTATTTTCACTATGTTATTTATTTATGATTATCCTTGGGCTCAGCAAAGATTTGATGTCAGCTGTTGCTGTCTTTTTTTCTATAGTTAATACTGAAATAGAGCCCTGCTGTTTAGTCAGGGCCTTTTCTTTAAATATAATTTTAAAATGTCGATACAGTAGCCCCTTTTTTAAAATGTCTATGCTTAAGTTTTTATCTCAATCTCAATCTTTATTTATTTATATAGCACATTTAAAACAACCTTCAGTTGACCAAAGTGCTGTACAGGCAATAAATATTAAATAACACAATGGGAGTACAATAATAAAACAATAATTAAAAACATGATAAAAAGCACAATAACTAGAAAAATATTAAAAAAAAAACACATACAAATGTAAAAATGTAATGTTCAACTAGTATTAAAAGCCAGTGCAAAGAGGTGAGTTTTTAGCTGAGATTTAAAAAGTTCAATAGACTCAGCAGTCCGGATATGTGCTGGGAGGCTGTTCCACAGTCTAGGAGCTGCAACACTGAAAGCCCTGTCACCTCGGGTTTTGTTATAGGTGTTGCTATCTGCTTTGTGTAGCGTGGTTCTACAAGCAAGTCTGTGCATTCATTGGATGGTATCAGAGAGATACAAGGGTCTGTAAATGCAATGAAAACAATTGGCCACAGCAAATAATTGATATTAAACATGTAATTTTTACTTTTGAATACTTCAGTACAAAGGATGTATTGAATAATTTAAGTGATATGTGTACACATATAAATCATTAGTCAAAACAGGGCTACATTTGATTGAATTATAAAAGGTATAATATGTGGTAAACTGAAGAGCCGTTTGGGAGCCGAAAGAGCCGGCTCTTCTTGGTGAGCCGAGCCAAATGATCCGGCTCACCAAGAAGAGCCGGAATTCCCATCACTCAACAACACCGGCTTCCTCTGCCAAGAGCGGGGCGAGTCTTCCGGTGTGAGGATCGGTCCTCCAGCAGATAGACAACCGCCAACAGAGGCTGCTGGCTGCTCTGGTTCAGAGAGGTCACAAAGCTCTCTGCAGAGGTTGGAGTACGTTAATTTAAAACGCACTTTGTTCCCAGAGGTGGGAGAAGTACTCATATCTTGTACTTAAATAAAGAGGTAGTAGTAGTAGTATTAAAAGTCCTGCAATCAAAATATACTGAACGTACCAACAGTTAAAATACTCATTATGCAAATTGACCCATTTCAGAAAAATATATTGTATGTGTTTTTTAAAAGTTTGAATTACTTTGTATGCTTCAGGGTAGTTTGTGAATGATACTCCAGGTGTAACCAAAGTAAAAGTGTTGAATATAATTCAAATCACTAATCAAAATTTGAATAGTAACTACACTTTTTTGTGTGCGCCAATTGTTATATATATATATATATATTATGTTATTATGGTACGTCTGCATACAGGGAACTATCAATGTTAAATTAACAAAAAATAATAAATAAACTGTGTAAAAAAAAAAAAGCTAACAACATTGTTGGTAGTGTTGCTGCACCTTTAAGAATTACGTAACAGTGACGTGGTACGCGGAGGGCGTGGTCCACTTGTGAAATGTCAGGGAGGAATGGCGCTCGGCGCGGTATTTTAAACAATCGCCTTTTCCTTTCCTCGTTTTATCTGGAAACGTTGCTCAGTGTAAACATATCGGGTAAGGTGCCAATGTGTTGATCGTTTCTAGAGTTTGCGACACTACATCCAGCAGAAAGCCGCAAACTTTAAGAGTGTGTTCAATGTTGAGATATATTGTTGTGCTAGCTAGCTTGGGTTAGCAAGCTCAGCAAGTTTGCTAGTACAGTTGTCCTGCCCGCTGGGCTGGCTCTAATGAGGCTGATGATGAAGATGATAGCGATGCTTACACACAAATAAAGGGCACAGGGGCCAGGATATTCCCTGAAACTGGTCCCTTACAGTGTTGTGTGTGCGGACACAAAGTTTGGTTTGTATCAACAAACAATATATTGACTATAGTGCAAATATGCTAAGTTAGTGCGTCTACAAATGGAAAGTAAAAGCTAACTTAGCTGAACAGTGAGAAGCGTATTTTGAGTAGTTATGTCGTGGTAAAGCAACTAATGCACAACAACTGGTCTTCCTGTGCATGCTGTCAAAAACATTACAAGAGTACAAAGAGTTATTACCTTTTGCTTTGAGCGTTTTACATTTTACTTAGCTGAAAACCTCGCATTGTATCTGTTGTTTTTCTTATTTAGAAACAGACCTTGTATGTATTGACCTGGTGAAAAATAGGACTACAATGGTTAATTTATAACTGGCTAAACAGGTTAAGTTTATTCATAACACCTTAAAAGCACAGGCCACTCATGCCTATAGTTAAACATATTGGTGCAATTTCATTACGTGAATTGTCTGACCTAAAATGATTTAATCCAGATGGACGTCTTAAGTGACAGGATGAATTATTGAATGCTAGCATTGTTTACGTTGTCAGAGTCTGCCAGAATAGTTTACTTACTAGTAGACCACAGTTACTAGCAGATATTATGATCGGATTTCATGTGTGCTAGCTGTTCTTTTTGATGTTTTAGCTTCAAGTAAAAAATGTTAAACAAATTCCTTCATCCTAAATACCTATGTATTAGCCGGAGAGCTAACAGAGTTGATGACGAGGTAAAAATGGCGGATCTTTCGAAATCCAACCCCGGCCTGAAATAGTAACGCAGCCAGCAAACAGCTTGTCGCTTTTTTCTCACTCTTTCCCCCAACTGGGAAACACTTCTGTGGGTGTTTTACTCAAACGAGTGCAGATCAGCACTGTTTTCTTTTGGTGACTTTCCACCGGGAGACGCGGAAACAATGAGGGCATTTAGCAGTGAGTGTGTGGGGAGGGTAGGGTTCATATGTGCGGTGTTTCAGTGGATTACTGTTGAGTAGAGAGCAGCAGGACAAAGATGATCGCTGCGGCCTAATGCTAACCCAGCATCAGCTGTCAGGCTGTGTCAAACATGAGAGGAACTCAGACGTGACTCGTGTACACCTCTCCATTCATTAACACTCACGTGATTACTGAAATATACCTGCATTAAGTTACCACATGGGGTATTTTTCTAACTGTGAAGAAGGCTAACTCGCTAGCTTTAACTGTTTGTTTATTTTTCTTGCAACTCCTGTGGCAAACAGACTGCATCATTATCCATTAATGTATGTATCTTGCAACTTAATCTTGCACTATTTCATTTCCGTTTCTTCTTGCACTATTTGTTTTATTGTTACAAAAAAGTTTGATATATATATTTATGTTGCATTGTTGAACTGGGACTTAAGATTTGAATGACCATAACTACCATGTAGCTACTGTGTGCATATGACAAACAATCCTTTATATATTTGAATCTATATGATTTATTAATTATGTTGACAAATGCAATATAAATGAATAATATGTATTTTAAAATCAGAACTCTTGTTTATTGCAAATAAATAAATAAACTTTTTGTAATACAAATATTGTCTGTCATAGACTGTCATACACCAGGCAGGCACCACAGTGTATGTTAGTGCAGTCAATTCATACCTGTGTTACATTTTATTTAATGTTTTATCCCTCCAAAGTGCCTTTTTCTAAAAAAAAGTAATACTTCCCCTAAATCAGATTAAAAATAATTGCATTAAAAAGATGAAAAATGTTTAAACCTCCAAAATGTGAATTTCTTTGACACATTTTACACAAGGAAAAAGAGTTGCATTGTTTATGTCTTATTGTATTATTCTTTCTGGATTAACAGAGAGCTGAGACTTTGCAAGCATGGATGTGGTGTCACCAGAGCTCAACAGCCTCCTTCCTGATGAGATCATGGATACTGAGGCCATAGAGGACATCCCTCACTCCCAACCCGGCGGCGGCACCACGGTCCAGTCAGCCAGCGATGACGCACCGGTCCCAATGGAAACGGATACACCCATGGCTTCAGAAAATGTGAGCCTGTGTTCAATTGCAACTTCAACCGGACACACTCAGGCTCTCACCACATCCACCGCCTCAAACTCCACATTCATCATCAGCTCCGGAAGTCAGCTCCCCATGTCAATTTCCAGTTCATCGCCATCCCTTCTTACCTTTAAACCAGCCATGGCTACTTCCATAGCCACCACCAAAACCACAGATAGTTTGATTGGGACTACTTTCTCTACAAGTGGATTACAGAAGCTCACAGCTCCGTTTACTATCTCTGCTGCAAGCCATCAGATAATTCTCAACAAGGTGGCATCAGAAGCAGCAAAGTCTGCGGGTGGTCCACCCCAGATCATCAAGCAGGAGGGACAAAAGCTTTTGGTCACAGCAATAGGAAAGTCAGGTCAACCTATAGTTTTGCAGTTACCCCACACAGGCAGCAAGCCTGGCCTTTCACAGACTTCAGGAGACCTGAAATCCCAAGCTCCACAGTTTAAAGTGGTGACTATTGGTGGCAGGACGGAGCTGAAGCCAATACTGGGGAGTCCTGGAAACCAGCTGACCACATTACAGGCCCAGCAGCTGAAGACCGTACAGGTAACATTGTGTTATAGTGCCATATTTAAACATTAGAATGTTTATTATTTCACCAATGAATTGCCCAGACATAATGTGCTCCATATCAGTGTCTAATTAAATATAATTACCTTCAGATTTTACCGAAAAGACATAAGAAACTGTTAACAAACTGTTATTTAACCTTAATTAACATTGTAACAAATAAATGACTGGCTTTGAATCCATTGGCCTGTCCAAGTAGATGTTAAAGTGAGCTTTGAAAGTCAAAGCTGGCTAAATAAAATAAAAAAACAACTGTTGCGCCTGCCCTGTTTACTCCAAACATAGTTTGGTAATTGGAGAACAGATGAGAGAAAAGGACGAACCATTATAATACGATGACAACTTATTGGGGACCCTGGACAGATATATTTATTTGCTTGACTTACCTGCTTCTTTGTCTAATGCTGGCACAAAGAGACCTGTCAGTCAGTTTGGTATCAAAAACAACCTTTCTGTTTACATTTTTTTGATTGTGGCATGACTTGCAGATTTAAAGAGAGAACAAAATATTGAATTTGATGTGTGATGCATGCTCAAAGCTCTACACATGGTAAAGAATAGCAGTACAATCACTTTTTACAATTATTAAAATAAAGCAATGATTCTGATTTGTTATAAACCTGAGCATGAACCTTTGAGTTTAAAGAAGTTGACGTATTAAACCTTTCAGAGAGAAACAGCATTATGAGTTATTACTGTATAGATATCTCTCCAATTGCAGATGTATGTTTTGTGATGGCACAAGTTCACACCTGTGTTTGCTAGTATCATAGGAATAAAGGATGGGGTATTTGAGGAATATGCATTTGATTAGATATAATACAACTTGATTCCCCATCAGGCAGTTGGGTTGTTTTACTGTTTAACCACCAGTTATGGCTGCCAACAATGATAAGTTAGGTTTCTAACTTACCATTGATGTATCAAGTATACACTTGAAGTCAGGAATTGTTTAGATAAAAAAATAAAAAAGCACTGTTGTTCATTTTTGAATAGGGATATAATGCAAATGATTCTGACTGAATATTTCCACAGATTGCTAAGAAAACACCAGTGTCCTCGGCTGCACCAATCAAGTTTATCATCACAAAAACTGTTAACAGCAAAGGTCTAAGTCCTCAGACATCAGTTACTCCTGTTATCGCAGGTACGTTTATTTTTATTATCGTTGTGTGTGTTGTAAACATATTATCAGTGATACACCTTTTTAGTTGTGCTGTAATGAAGCCATGTTTTCTCAAATATTGTGCTTTTTGATTAAAGGACGGGTCTTGACGCAGAGTTCCCTAGGGATGCCCTCAAGGACTATTACTCTCTCTGAGCCCCACAACACTACAACACTACAGAGCATAACTGGCAAAAAGATTGCCATTTCACCCC